CACGGAGACCCGATTTCATTACCGACGACGGTAAAGAAGAGCTCTCTAGGATCTTACTTCGGCAGGATAAGGGTGTCATCGTCATGAATGAAAGGCTGGAAGAGCCTGAATCGGCCGAGGTTTGTGAGGTGGACGGGGACAGACCTGAAGAATCTTCGGATCTTTTATCAGACCACATGTTTTGCCAACCCTCTCAACGCCTTCGAGATCTCCTTCTGCATGCCTATGAGAAGGATCCACCGGTAGTTGAGGACGATGACGAATCTCCCCTCCGCTTCGAACAAGGGTTTTGGTGGTTGAAGGATAGGATCTTTGTCCCGCTTGAGCTACGTCCCCACATCTTACAAACTTTTCATGATGACATATCCGCTGGGCACCTGGGATCGCTGAAAACTCTGCAGAACATCACTCGTACACTCTCTTGGCCAGGAATTCGTGGCGACGTTATCAAGTACACGAAGTCTTGCCTTTCCTGTCAACGGGCCAAGCACTCGAATCAGCGCCCCCCTGGTCTCATGGTTTCCTTAGCCATCCCGGAGCGGCCCTGGAGCGTGATAGGCATCGACTTCATTGTAAAGCTACCCTTATCGACGGGATTTGACTCCATCTTGGTTATAGTCGATCATTTTTCCAAAGCTGCTCACTTCATCCCGGCTTGTGAGACCTGGGCAGCCGAAGAGTTTGCTAACGTATTCTTAGACCGTTTTATCAGGTATCATGGCCTTCCGGACAAAATTGTCTCCGACCGCGGTTCGATTTTCGTCTCGAGGTTTTGGACAGAGGTTCAGCGGCTGCTTCGAATCAAGCCGGCCCCTTCTACTGCTTGGCACCCTCGGACTGATGGACAAACCGAGAGGACAAATCAAACCGTCGAAACCTATCTTCGTCACTTCATCTCTGATCGGCAGGATGATTGGGTTGCCCTTCTTCCCATGGCGGAATTGGTTTTCAACACTTCGGTTTCGGCCTCCACGGGATTTTCCCCCTTTTTCGCTCAGTTTTCTTTCCATCCTCGCATGAACACTCTTTCAGCAGGCTCACTGGTTCCGGCGGCTGATTCTTTAATTGAACGATTGAATGAAGTACAGGAGGGTTTGACGCAGTTTTTGAAAAGGGCAAAGGAGGTCCAGAAAGAGCATTTTGATCGGCGGGCTAGGGATTCTCCTTCCCACTCGGTGGGTGATTGGGTTTGGCTTCTTCGAACCAACATTACATCCAAGCGTCCCTCCGAGAAATTGGATTTCAAGCGTTTGGGTCCCTTCAAAATAGCCGACGAAATTGGGAAGGAAGCGTTTCGTCTCTCTCTCCCTCCTGATATGAAACGCATTCACCCAGTTTTCCATTCTTCCTTGTTGGTTCCATTTGTAGATCCGAAATCATATCCCGGGCGGAAGGTCCCTACATCCTCTTTGGGCCGGCATTCAAACCTCCAACGTGACATTGATGAAAATGATGTGGAAACCATCATCGGTTATCGGAAGATGGGTTCGAAGAAGCACGAATATTTGGTGTCTTGGAGAAATGGCTCAGCTGCAGATAACTCTTGGGTAAAAGGGGGACATTTTGCGGAATCCATTCATCCTTATCTGGAGAAGTTCCACGAGGATTTCGGTATTCAGCCTGTTATCCTGTCACCCGACAAGGCAGTTCGAATTCTTTGCTAGGGTACATGGCAGGTCATTTTGTCAAAATCAGGCCAGGAAACCCTGCGAACAAAAAAAAAAAAAAAAAAAAAAATAATAAATAAATATAATAAATAAATAAAATAAAAATTTTTATTTCTACCTGTAACGATTCTTTTATTTAGGTTGTTTTTTCTATCCTTGCAACGTTTTAAATTCTCTCGCTTTATATAAAATCATTCATTTTCTAGTTACGGATCAAAGGATAGGTTACAAAACTGTTACTTCACGATAAACTTCTTCTGTTGACAATCATGAACAAAAGTCTCTTGTCTCTCGTTTTGTTTCTGCAAAAAAAAATCTATAAATAGTTCCCTGTTTTCCATCTCTTTCTGTTTTCCTTAAGAGACTTATTCTGTTATTTTTCTCTATTATTCTAAAAACATACGCAATCCACAAATACATACAACGTAAAAAGTCTTACAAATAAAACCTCAGTTTTCAAGTAAAGAGTTTCAAGTGAAACTAGCCGTCCTAAAGTTCCGAAGTCCCCGAATTCTTTACAACGAGCTTTTGAGTCAGCCCGCCCGTTCTCTGCCGTCAGATCGACTGCATTGCTGTCATCGGTCCGTGAGATTTGGACCCTGTATTGACAGCTGCAGGTTCCGACGTGAGAAGCCAAAATTTGGGCTTTCTGGCCTGCAGGCTGCTGTGGGAATCCTGCCCAGATCATGAAGCCAAAAAAAAATATTGCTGAACAGCGGGCTCGATCACAAGATGAAACCCAACATGATCACTTCTACTGACAATCTTAACCACTTGGGCAGGCTTGCTTGAGTTACATGACCGAGATGGATGTTTGATTGCGCAAACTCCATATGCAAGATGCTTTTTTTTTCTCTAAGTCAATTTTTTGAAAAAAAAAAAAAAAAATCATACCAATTTTTCTCCACCTCTCACCTGAAAAGATAAACAGTGAGACGGTTTTGAAGTTTCATAAAAGTGGGTGACCCGACGTCAAGCCGACGACTCGGCATTGGTCATCCCAACCGCATCCTTCATGAGGCGCCCTGGCAAGCCTCTTTGAGACAGCAGTGCGTCGGTTTGGCAGGACCGTCAGTCCTGGTCTCCAGCGGTTGACCAAAGCTGGAGATGCAGCCCCGGTTGGATGTCCTGGCTGAAGCTTGGGTCATACTGCCGGAGGCTTGACGGTGATGGCCTCGGCAAACCGTCGGTCATACATGGGTCAGGGGGGCTGTCGTCAGGAGGCCGAGTGTCTAAATGACACTTGATGACAGCCTGCACCCGGACGGTCAAAGATCGGGCGGCTGGCCGACAATCGCCGGTGTGGAAAGCCGTCGGTTGACCATTCTAACCAAACCGACAGCCTGACCGAATTGCATCAGGCGGGCTGACCGGCTGGTCAGGCCAACTGCGGTGTGACACACAAACCTGCGCCAACTCGACCGCTTGGTCAACCCAACCCATTTTATTTGTTTGACGTTGTGTCGACGCCCCGGAGGA